GCGAGTCTCTGTGTCTCTCCCAGCCATGAAGGAGGGGACGTGTCCTCACGGGCTGTGACAGACTCGCTGCTTTGCCTTCAGCAGGGAGCTCCTCCTGCCGTTGAGGGAGAAGTGCCCCTCTGAGTCCTGAGTCTCTGGCTGGGTGGGGCTCATTAAGCAGCGGCGGGGCTGTGTTGCCACGCAGCGCAGAGGGAACCTTGGTGGTGGGGTTCAACTTACAGGCTCCCTGCCCAGAGCTGAAGTCCTAGGACTTCAGCTTTATTCTCCTCTCTTCTCTCCCATGTCTGGAGCAATGGGGCTCATACCCAGGCAGTGGGGCTTGGGCTGGCTAAAGCCCTCTTCTCTTGGGTCATATGGTAAGTCTTGTTATCAGGGGGATCACGGTGCCATGAAGTTTGCAATCCCCTTCCATGAATCAACTCCTCTGTGATCATCTCACAAGTGTCTGTAATCAGGTGTCTTCCACATCTGCCGCTCAACTTCCACATATACACACAACCCCCCCCAATTTTATACAATAATAATTAACGTCCTGGGACTAGCGAGGAGGTAATTAATAGTTATCTTTGGGTTTTCTAGTTTTGTGGTTGTATTCTCATTTTGCAGTAACGTTACGGCAATAGGCTGTGTGCTGCTGGGCCTCGTTAAAAGGAAACAAAACACATTCTCTTTGAGGATGCTATTCTTTGGCTGCCAGCTATTCCAAACTGAATTGAAACTCCCTGCACTATAATAGGAGCTGTAAGATCTTTCTGCTGTTGAAATCAAATTCCTCCTGATCTCTGCTTGTGTGGTGTTAGTCTAAAAGGCCCTGTGCAACCTTGATAAAGTTCCTATTTTCTGATTTAGCTCGGAGCTGTAATGAGACAGAACAATAGATACAAGGGGAGACCAGCAGACAGTGACAACAAAAGGAAGAGAACAGTGTATGCTTCACAGATACGGTAGAGGTGCGGATGTTAGGAAAGGCAGATGTGTGAACAAAGAGATTACCATCGCTAGCTATTTCTCTTAATATTTAACTGTATATAAACCCGATCCCGGAAATGGTTTTAGTGTTGCTCATTTGATCACAAGGATTATGATCAAACATTTTGAAAGTTCCTTACCATGTGTGGAAGGCGGATATTGGCAAGACTTTGGATAAGTGCCTGGCTCAGTCCTGAGAGCTCCAAGAACAGAGCTTCATTCTGCTCCTCAATTATTTTGTTTTCCTCCTCAATGTTCCTTAGGTTCTTCTCCATGGATGATATCTGCACAGTGAAGAGTGCAGCACAGTTAGTTGCTTTCACCCTTAGCTTCAGCCTCATTACAATACCCTCTGGGATTGGTCAAAACTGTTCTGTTGAAAGTTTTCTCCTGTGGAAACTTAGAAAATGAATGTTTTCCTGAAAGGAGTCTGTGGTCCTGGAATAAGCCACGTTTTTATCAAGTTTTGGTGATGATGAAAAGTTAAGATTTTCCATTGAAAATTCCCTGAGGGAAACTGGCAAAAATGGGAGGGGGGCGGGGGAGAGAATCAAAAATTTTCACTGAAAATGTTGACAATTTTCTCCCATTTTTGCCTGTTTTCCTCAGGGGAGGAAAACCCCCCACTTCCCAAAGAGCTCTAATAGGAGAGTGACCCTCTGTCCTGTTTTTACCAGGACAGTCCCTTATTTAAGATCACTTCCTGGCGTCCCAACGTTTTTTAGAAAATGGGCAGATTGTCCTGCATTTCCCCTGCAGTGGGAGGAGGGGAGGGGAGAGGAGAGGAGCTGCCAGCACTCAGCACTTCAGTTGCTGAAGCCCCAAGCACTAGCAGCTCCCTTCCCCTCCCCACCCTGCCTTTGCGGGGCTGAACTTTGTCCCTGCAGCAACACAGGGTGGGCAGGGAACTGTTGGCACTGGCAGCCTTTAACTGCTGGGCGGCTTTTCCTCCCCCCTCCCACTCTGGGGCTGGAGCCCTGAATGCCAGCGCCCCTCTCCTCTGCTTCAGGGCTAAAGCTCCAAGCACCAGCAGACCCCTTCCCTTTTGGGCAAAAGCATTCAGCGTGCAGCCCCTCCCCACCTTGGGGTGTGTCTAGACTACAGGGTTTTGTCGACAAAAGTGGACTTTTGTCGACAAAACTAAACCTGCGTCCACACTACTGCTGAGTTCTGTCGACATAACGTCGACAGAACTCAGCAGTTTTGTCATAACGCCTTTTGTCGACAGACTTCTGTCAACAGAAGGTGTTATTGCATCTAAGGTTGTGTCTAGACTACAGGGTTTTGTCGACAAAGCATTTTGCTTTGTCGACAGAACTGGATGTAGTCTAGACACTCTTTGTCGACAGAAGCTTTGTCGACGGTATCTGTCGACAAAACGTCTGTCGACAAAAGCCTGTAGTCTAGATGTACCCTTGGTGTCCCGTATTCGGCATAGGGAAGTAAGGTCTCCCTGTCTAATACATAAGCACACTGACACTTTGTAAGTTGTGATTGTCCTTAGAAGAAATTAATTGATGTTAATGACACTTCCCTTCTGTACTTTGCTGAGGTACTTTACTGAAAAGCATTTGCATACTTCAGAAAGTGGCGGAGGGCTGGCAGGCAGATTCCGCTCTTTGGTGAGCTTTTTAAAATCTGCCTTGGAGGGTCAGCTGAGGTCCCCCCCCCCCCACACACACACATTCTCCATTGACTCCAATGAGCTTTGGCTCTCACTCGGAGATTCCAGAGTGAAGGCCCAGTTGGGGAAGGCAAGCCCCTGCCCCAGCCCTAGCCCCGCCCCTTCCACCTGAGGTCCCACCCCTTCAGCAACCTTCCAGGAGCCAAGTCCTGCTCGACACCAGCCCAACCCTTCCTGGCCACCTGGAGGGCCAAGGCTGCCCCCAGACTTTCCTGGCAGCCTGGATGCTTCATCCCCGACCCTGGCCCCAGTCTTCCCTGGTGGTTGGGGAGCTGGACTTCTGTGCTGTGGCCCCAGTTTTCCCAAGCAGCCAGGGAGTGTAGGCAGTTCTGGGAAGGCAATGCCTTCCCTTGCCTCCATTATCTTCCACCGCTGCTCCACCCTCACATACCTGTGACTGCAGCTTCACCATGGCAGCTTCCATCTCTGAGTTGGACTCATTCAGCTCAGTAATCTCCCTGTTTAACTGCTTAATTTCTTCATCGTTCTCTAGAACTGCAGGTGGGAAAATTGCAGTCAGGCACCCTGCTGCTCTGACTCACAAAGCCGCGGGGAGGCTCTCTTTTAGATACGCCTCAGAGCCCCCGGCAGTGCTGATTTTCTTCCTAACCCCCCCCCTCAAAAGCGAGCTCACACTTCCCATGGTTCTACAAGTTCCATAGTATCACATTGAATTATGCGCGTCGACCAATGGCTCCCTGGCACAATAATAATCACAATGATGAATAATAATCATACTAATGTATAAAACCAGAACCAGGTAATGGACTCTTCCATCCAGAACCTCTCCTACTCAGAAGCTCTTCAGAGGAGATGCACATGCGACTCGGCTCGCTGCTAGTGTGACGTTGGAATGTGTGTGGATTTCATTGCTAGCGATAATGGGACTGAGTCATAAACTAGATGGGGTATAAATCACAACAGTAGTTCTAGGACAGTGTCGAATTTTCCTGGATCAAAAAAGGAGGAAGCGTTGTAGGGGAAGAGTGGGGCTTGATCAAATACAGGCACTCTCCGAGTGACAATCATCCGACTTACAAACAGCCGCATGTACAAACAAAAGCTCACCCGTGGCCTCAGGGGAGCCGGCAAGAGGCCCAGGGGTGGCAAGAAACAGAAGAACTGGTCAGAGGACACCAGAGAAGCAGGGAGCGATTGTGCAGCCAGTGGCTGGAGAGAAGTGGTTGCTTCAAAGGGGAAATCTGATGCTTTTCTCTCCAGCCATTGGCTGTAGAGCCACCCCCTGCTCCTCTGGAGTCCTCCAGCCCCGGCTTGCCACCTCCTGGTGAACGGGCCTGGGTGTAATCCGTGATCGGGAGGGCAGCCTAGGGGCTAGGGCTGGCCAGAGGAGTCGGCACAGAGCCTGAGGGAAAGGGAGGTGGAAGATGCCCAGAAGTTCCCTTCAGAATCTCCATCTACCTCCTCACTCTCCTCTAATTACTTTAATGAAACCTGCCTTTCCTCAAGCGCCAGCATTCAAGGTTAAATAAACAAGTATTTCTACTCTTTTGCATTGCAAATATACGGTATTTCAGCTACATTAGGGGTTAAATAGGCTTTTGTGGACTAGCTTGGGAACCTAACTACCATTTCTAGCACTGTTTCCATGGGAAAATGCATTCCGTTCCAAACAACCAACTTACAAACGCACTTTTGGAACACAAGCAGTTCGTAAGTTGGGGACTTCCTGTAGGAAGCCAATAAAGCAACCCCCAAAATACCCGATTTGCAAATATTTTTGAGAGTAAACGCCCTGAGTTTGTGTGAGAGTGTTTAAGCAATTAGAACGAATCCACAAAAAGATCTGTAAATTCTTGAAAATTGGCACTTGTGATTTTACAACTGAAAATTCACAATGGAAGCTCGCTTGTCATACTCCTTTTCTTAACTGCTACTCATCCAGTCCGGGAGCAGCAACAACACCAATTTCTCAACGTGGGTAATGAATATTCATAGTAAACAATTTGCTAGCAGCCATCAGGCTGACAATTATTTACTGAAGCTCTGTGCCGTACACAATGATGAACGAATAAACTCTCAAAAATCAGGATGAGTTTGCCAATGGTTTGCTAGACATGCAGCTAAAATTCATAACAAATATCACTCGTAGTTAAGGCTCTCATTCAATTGCAGAAGGACTGTAACGTAGTTGCAGCCGAGTTGTGAACAAGAGAAGGAAAATCGTGACGTAATAATGGACTTTATGAATGGGGGGCAGGTGAGGTCCCCCCCCCCCACACACACATTCTCCATTGACTCCAATGAGCTTTGGCTCTCACTCGGAGATTCCAGAGTGAAGGCCCAGTTGGGGAAGGCAAGCCCCTGCCCCAGCCCTAGCCCCGCCCCTTCCACCTGAGGTCCCACCCCTTCAGCAACCTTCCAGGAGCCAAGTCCTGCTCGACACCAGCCCAACCCTTCCTGGCCACCTGGAGGGCCAAGGCTGCCCCCAGACTTTCCTGGCAGCCTGGATGCTTCATCCCCGACCCTGGCCCCAGTCTTCCCTGGTGGTTGGGGAGCTGGACTTCTGTGCTGTGGCCCCAGTTTTCCCAAGCAGCCAGGGAGTGTAGGCAGTTCTGGGAAGGCAATGCCTTCCCTTGCCTCCATTATCTTCCACCGCTGCTCCACCCTCACATACCTGTGACTGCAGCTTCACCATGGCAGCTTCCATCTCTGAGTTGGACTCATTCAGCTCAGTAATCTCCCTGTTTAACTGCTTAATTTCTTCATCGTTCTCTAGAACTGCAGGTGGGAAAATTGCAGTCAGGCACCCTGCTGCTCTGACTCACAAAGCCGCGGGGAGGCTCTCTTTTAGATACGCCTCAGAGCCCCCGGCAGTGCTGATTTTCTTCCTAACCCCCCCCCCTCAAAAGCGAGCTCACACTTCCCATGGTTCTACAAGTTCCATAGTATCACATTGAATTATGCGCGTCGACCAATGGCTCCCTGGCACAATAATAATCACAATGATGAATAATAATCATACTAATGTATAAAACCAGAACCAGGTAATGGACTCTTCCATCCAGAACCTCTCCTACTCAGAAGCTCTTCAGAGGAGATGCACATGCGACTCGGCTCGCTGCTAGTGTGACGTTGGAATGTGTGTGGATTTCATTGCTAGCGATAATGGGACTGAGTCATAAACTAGATGGGGTATAAATCACAACAGTAGTTCTAGGACAGTGTCGAATTTTCCTGGATCAAAAAAGGAGGAAGCGTTGTAGGGGAAGAGTGGGGCTTGATCAAATACAGGCACTCTCCGAGTGACAATCATCCGACTTACAAACAGCCGCATGTACAAACAAAAGCTCACCCGTGGCCTCAGGGGAGCCGGCAAGAGGCCCAGGGGTGGCAAGAAACAGAAGAACTGGTCAGAGGACACCAGAGAAGCAGGGAGCGATTGTGCAGCCAGTGGCTGGAGAGAAGTGGTTGCTTCAAAGGGGAAATCTGATGCTTTTCTCTCCAGCCATTGGCTGTAGAGCCACCCCCTGCTCCTCTGGAGTCCTCCAGCCCCGGCTTGCCACCTCCTGGTGAACGGGCCTGGGTGTAATCCGTGATCGGGAGGGCAGCCTAGGGGCTAGGGCTGGCCAGAGGAGTCGGCACAGAGCCTGAGGGAAAGGGAGGTGGAAGATGCCCAGAAGTTCCCTTCAGAATCTCCATCTACCTCCTCACTCTCCTCTAATTACTTTAATGAAACCTGCCTTTCCTCAAGCGCCAGCATTCAAGGTTAAATAAACAAGTATTTCTACTCTTTTGCATTGCAAATATACGGTATTTCAGCTACATTAGGGGTTAAATAGGCTTTTGTGGACTAGCTTGGGAACCTAACTACCATTTCTAGCACTGTTTCCATGGGAAAATGCATTCCGTTCCAAACAACCAACTTACAAACGCACTTTTGGAACACAAGCAGTTCGTAAGTTGGGGACTTCCTGTAGGAAGCCAATAAAGCAACCCCCAAAATACCCGATTTGCAAATATTTTTGAGAGTAAACGCCCTGAGTTTGTGTGAGAGTGTTTAAGCAATTAGAACGAATCCACAAAAAGATCTGTAAATTCTTGAAAATTGGCACTTGTGATTTTACAACTGAAAATTCACAATGGAAGCTCGCTTGTCATACTCCTTTTCTTAACTGCTACTCATCCAGTCCGGGAGCAGCAACAACACCAATTTCTCAACGTGGGTAATGAATATTCATAGTAAACAATTTGCTAGCAGCCATCAGGCTGACAATTATTTACTGAAGCTCTGTGCCGTACACAATGATGAACGAATAAACTCTCAAAAATCAGGATGAGTTTGCCAATGGTTTGCTAGACATGCAGCTAAAATTCATAACAAATATCACTCGTAGTTAAGGCTCTCATTCAATTGCAGAAGGACTGTAACGTAGTTGCAGCCGAGTTGTGAACAAGAGAAGGAAAATCGTGACGTAATAATGGACTTTATGAATTGTGGTAATTTGGAAAAGCCTGAGAAGGCCTGTTTGTTTATGAAAAATTGCTGGAAAAATATAAACACTCAAGTGCTATGTCACTGTTTCTCAGCCAGTGGTACGGGCACCCTTAGGGGTACTTGAGAGAAGTCGGGGGAGGGTACATCCACACATGTGAAATTTGGAGAAAACTGAATTTTTGTTTTAAGTTTTACAGCGCTTGATTATTTTTTTTACTTTTTACTCCCCAAAATTTCATTGCCCACCCAGCTACAATTAAGTTGTTTAAACAAATATGTTGCAATGCTAGAAAAAAATTGTCTCTGAAAACTGTAGGTACTGGGGGTACTTATAATTTTTTTAAAAAAAGGGGTACTTTATAAAAAAAAAAAGGTTGAGAAATACTGTACTAGGTCATGGCTGCTACATTTTATGGGTCATTACTGTGGTGGGCTCAGAGCGGGAGTCCCAGCTCCTATCAACACAGATAAATGGGGTTCTAGGATATTAATGGAGAAAAAAGTGCATGTTGCAATATGGATGCAAAACTGTGGACTGTGCTAAGGAAGCTAATTAAAATTGAAATGCCAGTGGAGGCCTCATATTGCAATTTCCACCGTCTCCCAAATTAAGAAGAGCATTCCACATGGTGAATAATCTGATCAGCGCCATTGAACAGTCAGAAAGTGGTAGGGGTGGCACCTCCCTAAACCGGGACTCTCAGGTCTTGACAACGTCCTTGATCCTGCTGGACCACGGATGTTCCTGGGCCAGAGAGCCCCGGTGGCTGGAGTCAGACAGCAGAAGGGCCAGCAGCTGAGAGCCTAGCAGGGCTGGCAGAAGCCCAGCAATGGAGTTGGGGTTGGGGCTGCGGCAGGCTGATAGGGGAGCCGGGGTTAGGGGTCAGCAGCCTGGCAGGGAAGCTGGGAGCATGACTGCCCAGCAGCCGGTCGAGCTGTAGATAGCAGCAGGCAGTCTGACCATAGCCGGCGGCAGGGTGACTGGCCAGGACCGGAAGTGGAGCCGGCAGCAGGCTAAAGGGCCAATGGCAGGGAGCTTGTTCGGGACCGGTCAGGTCCCAAGGGTGCCGGACCAGGGAGGTCCAACCTGTACTGCACCTGTCAGCCTTCCCCATTTGGGAAGGAGGTATCAGATGACACTCACTATTTATTTTTTTAATAAAAACTTTATGACCATGACCTCTGCAGATCTGACACTGATCTTTATGATGCCATCAAGACAAACATGGGGTTTCAACCACAGACGAGCCGAGGCGGAGTTAAAAATAGCAGGAGAAGGGTAGACAGAGCAACCCAATTCATGGTAATGAGCACACACTAGCCCTAAATCAGGTGAGCGTGCACAGCAATGATGTTCCTGATCAATTTCTGGGAGGGAAAAGCTGAATGAATAATAGGGCTCCAGCTATTTTAAGGCAACATGTTGATCAAAGGCTGATCATTATCAGAGATAGTCCAATGGAGGTGACAATGTTGCTGTTATTTGTTACATGCGTTGTGCATCAAAAGCCTGACTCTGCCATCCTTATTCATCCAGACAGTCCCACCGAGCAAACCAGGACTAAGGGTGGGACAAACAAAAGAAGTGAGTCCCAAATAACTATTTGCACTTATCTGCTGGTCTAGCAAAAAGAAATAAACACACCCTACCACAACAAGAGACTGTACTGTACACACTTCTCCCCCGAGGGAGAAGATGACAGCACAAACAAGAGACAACTGTGGAGTCCTACTGCGTAAGTGCTACTGGCAGGTGCTCAGATAACAGATTCATGAGCACAGTGTAAGGACCTATGTAGAACAGAATGGAACATAATTATTTCAATAATTAATCAATAACGACGTGGCAAAACAGCAATTTTTTGCATGATTCTAATAATAATACAGTCTGGTCATAATACATAAATAATTATTTTTCCAACACATATGAAAGATAAAGCAGCCAAGATCAACAACCTTACCATCGCTGGTCTTGAATTTAGTGTTGAGAATTTCATCCCCTGAGAGTTTTCCTTTCTTTCCAGCAAAAGTAGCTCTGGGACACCCTGATAAACTAAAGGCAAGTAAAAATGGGTTTCATAAACTCTCAGCATCTGTTGATGTTTATGACCTCCAACAAGAGTTCTTACCATTTGACTGAGTTTGTGCCAGGAGGCAATTCTTCTAACAACATTCTACACTAAATATTAGAGAGGAAATTGCGTTATGAATAACACCACCATCATCCCCAGTTATAAAACAAGAGCGTTTTTTGTTGTGCAAAGAATAAGGAATGCAAATCCCCTAAAGGAGTGGCTATGACAAATGATGGGACACCTCTGACTAACAAAGACATTTAAAATGTCAAAAATGTGCCCTGATGTGCTAATTTGATTCAATTAAATTACCATTTTTCACAATTTGCCCCAACTCAGATCTCCTGGATTTTTCAGAGTACAATGGCTATTTGTTTTGCTGGAGAAAACCTCTTTTAAATTTGTGAGAAATTGGGCAAAAACGAAACCCCCAATGCGTGAACGTTTCCAGCTTATTTTGTGGCTGAAGCTCGGAATATTTGTAGCCCACCTTCTTCAGAAAGGATGGAAGCACACAATAACAAGGCGATCTGACAACATTTACTTCCTCATTGAGTGTAGCTGTGCATCGGATTGCTGTGCACCCAGTTATTACCTTCTGTGAGTGAGAAAGCTTCCGTTGGCATGACCTGAGCCATCACAGCCAGGGGTTGGACAGGTAGGCCCTTCATTCTTCAATGACTTCCAGGAAAATGAGGAGCCATTGAGTGATCCTTCTTTCTGCCGGCGGGCTGCCAGAGGACACCCCGATGCACTGCGATGAGAGGCGTATTTGCCGCTGATGTGTCCAAGCCCAACACAACCAGGAACCGGACACCTAACGGGAAGTACAAGTAGTTGCAGGATGAAAATGGAAGCAAATAGGATTTTAAAGGTGCAAACCACTGCGGATAAAATTAATGTCGGGGAAAGCCAAGGCAAGTTCTGAGGCGTGTGCTCCTAAGCCTAGGTTCCGATCTAAATTGTGGTGTGCCGAGGCATTTTTAGCAAGGCGTGAAATTCAACACTTGCAAGCCTTAAGCAGTCCAAGTGGCATCTTCCATGCACTGTGAGCTCTCACATAAGGTGCCTGAGAGATCATATGGTGTGGTGGACATCACTTTGTTCTTTGGGGCCAAGTCAAAATCATCCTGCAGGCTGACAGCTGGACAACTATTTTTTACATTCTGAGGCATGCAGGGCATGTCTTACACACAGAGATGGCATGCCACCGGATCACAACTGTATCGCAACTAGAGGGGGCAGATCCTCCGCTGGAGTACACAGCCACAGCTCCATCACCATTTCCACCATTCAACCCAACAAAGCAGGACGGGATTGGCTTAGGGTGTTTTCCGCTGGCACTATGGCCTCTTGGGCTGTGTCTAGACTACATGCCTCTGTCGTCAGAGGCATGTAGATTAGACACATAGGCAAAGGCAAATGAAGCCGCGATTTAAATGTCGACATCAAAGCCCTTTGTCGGCAGCCCCGTTATTCCTCGTGGGATGAGGTTTACCGGGGCTGCCGACAAAGGGCTTTGATGTCGACAGGGGAGCGTCCAGACTAGCACGCTGAGCGGACAAACAGCTGATCAGCTGTTTGTCGGCTCAGCGCGGCAGCCATGTAAATGTAAATAAAGCCGCGATCATTTAAATCGCGGCTTCATTTGCCTTTGCCAAAACAACAAATCTACATGCCTCTGACAACAGAGGCATGTAGTTTAGACTTATCCTTGGAGGCAAAAACAGGTCTGAGATGGAGCCTGGGCCCCTGGAGGTTGAGGAGCTGACCTGTCACATGCACAAGGAAGAGGGGTTTGGTCTGGGAGGGCTCCACTTGGTATGAGGGCAGCTCTTTATTGCGAGGGAGGGAGGGACTAGCTCCCAGTTCTGTGGAGAAGGTCTGTCTGCATGTACGAGATGAAGGGCGTGTGTCACTCTGCAATCTCTATCCAATGGGCTTACACTGCAGCAAGGGAGGTTTAGGTTGGACATTAGGGAAAACTTCCTCACTGTCAGGGTGGTTAAACCCTGGAATAAATTGCCTAGGGAGGTTGTGGAATCTCCATCACTGGACACATTTAAGAGCAGGTTGGACAGACATCTATCCGGGATGATCTTGATGGTCCTTAGTCCTGCCAGGAGGGGATGAGACTAGCTTGATGACCTCTTGAGGTCCCTTCCTGTGCTAGTGCTCTATCCAGACCTGAAGTGGAGGGAAAGACTGACCAAGCCCTCCCCACAACGGCGCCTCACTCCCGCCTGTGAGCTCTCGCGGACTCAAAGGAACCTGCCACCGCATCAAATGACATGGGCAGGGGGGATCCTCCAGGTACGGGGGATCCTGCTTTTTCCCTGGCCCTGACACCGCTAGACACGGCTGAGCAGGCCTGAGCAGGAGGTGGCTCAGAACAGGACAAGGCTGAGTGGCCAGAACGTAGCTTTCTGAGGTGACAGCGCTCCAGACCGCTCGGGCAGCACCACACCTCTGCTCAGATGTGGGTGATAACTGGATGGGCCATGGCCTGCCAGGAGCTACGCCCCACTGTGCAGACCTCACCACATCAGCGAGGCTCCTTTCATGCTTCAGACTTTTCTTGAAAACCACGAGGCCTAGCGACGTACTCGATTGTGTTTAAATGAAACCGGAGCGTCTCTCGTGAACACTTGGCTGCAGGGCCCAAACTATGCTCCTCTGGTGCCTAAAGCCTTAATCGCACCCTGCTTAAGTAACGTGCTGAACGGGGGCCTAAATACTGTTGTCTTGAGGCTTAACAGGCTCCTCACCGCAGCTGTCGCCAAGGGACTTCTCGTGATACAGCCTCCAGCTTCCCTAATGCAGCCCTGGTGCATAACTCAGGAGCACTGTAGAGATTTTGGTATGTGTGCCTCTCTGCCTAGACGCTACTCCACAATGCAGCAGCCAACAATTAGCCATCTCCTAACACTAGCCCCTTCTGTGGCCAAGGGTAAAGAGTAACAGGAGCAGGAGATGGGGCCAGCACAAAGCATAAATAACCCAGAGCTTTGTGAGTGGAAGGAATATACGATAAGAACAACAATAGATGGGCAGGCAAAGACACGGTGCAATGGGTAGATAAGAGCAGAGCAACATCTCCCCAATAATTGTGGGACCACAGCATCAATTTATAATGACTGGGGGCCATCAGGCCCAGAGCAGGGGTGGGGGACCTAAGGTATGTGGGTTGGATGCGGTCCCTGGGTTGCTTGTATCTGGCCCCCGAGGCTTAGGACCTCCCCCAGCACTGGAGAACCCACACTGGCACTCCAGCCTCCCCCGCCCCCCCCACACACACACTGACTTTCCTGGCCCCTGATTTTTCTGTGGGTCAGCGGCCCCCAACCCAAAACAGGTTCCCTACCTCTGGCCTAGAGTGTTTGGCTACCCTGAATAGAAAGGGACAGAGAGAAAGACTCATCTGTGAAGGTTCTGGTTTCTTTCCATGACCATAATGGATGTTTAAACCAATGTCAGCATTCACTTGGACTGGGCTGTTCTAGTTTATTTTTAAATAAAAATGAATGTTTAAAAGTAAAGGCAACAGAGGAAGGGTCATAGTTTTGATGTCTCTCCTCAATGACAATGGCCAAATTGGCCAATGCATCAGTTTAACACACACAAAACACCTGTAGAGCAAATTTTCATGGGGTGCAGTTGTGTGAGCCAGCTGAACATTCTCCCCCCATGACTTTCCACCCCTTTTTAATCCAATACATTGATTGTAGGCTTTGGGGTAAATGGCAGATTGACCAAGAGCACTTACATTTGCTGTCAGCCTAGAGGGGAAATCGTGGGAAGATTCTGCCAAACACTTTGTAATTTATTGGGTGAGCAAGTTTTGGTTGTTGGGGGAGTTGAACAGAGTGGCTCACAGGTGGGATGGGTGGTGGGGCAAATTGCAGGGTGAATAGGCTGGAGAACAAATGGAGGACACATGGGTGGATGACAGAGAGCGCATCCCTCAAATTCAGCTCACTACGTCCTCCTTTCCGTCTCGTTTCTGTCTTCCTATACAATAGGGAGCAGGAGACAAAGACTCGCCTGTTTCATTTGTAATAAGTTGACAAAACAGGCGGGCAGAATTGCAGGACAGAGAATTTGATTAAAGGTGTTGAGAAGGCAGTGTTCTAACGGAAACTCCACTGTCTGTATGAAAGCAGCCTGGCCCTGGCTTGCCTTCATGAACCCCTGAGGCCAGATCAGGTCTCTCCTGAAATTTGATCCTCTTTCCCCTATGCTATTCATCTCACTTGGGATAAGACCAGCCCATCTTAAAGAGGAAGGAGGAAGATACATTGGGTGGAAGCATCGGGTTCTGGTCTTTGGAGCTTGGAGGGTAAGTAAAAACGATTTGGTGTACATTTATTAACTGGCTAACAGAAAAATCCCTTTCACCCAGAGAACATCAGCGATAATCCTTTTCAACTTCCAACAGAAGAACTAAAACCCTGGGTCACAATCCTGACTTCAAACCACCCGTCTTGATCATGTTAATGACTCCAAAGATTGAGAAGTCATCAAACTGGACTTTTCTTTTTTAACTCTCAGTGACAGAATGCTTGTATGGACACCATAGTAGCACTGAATCAAGGGCATCTATTTGGCATAGCCACAGCAAATCATATCTTTCATTCTTGCCAGGAAATCCAGGCTCTTAAATCCCCTTTTCCAAAATAAGCACAGTCGGGACAATGAAGAGTCCTGTGGCAGATCTGATAAAGCGGGCGTTATGCACAAGTAAATATTAGTCTTTAAGGTGCCACAGGACTCCTTGTGGTTTTTGCATGGCTACCCCTCAGATATAGTTAAGATACATCTTTCTCTCAGTAAGGGGAGGGTTTTTATTGTTGTTGTTGTTTTGCTTCTCACTTGTGCATGGCCCCTGACTGATTTTTTGTGGGTCAGCAGCCCCCGACCCACTTCTGCTAACAGCAAAGGGGTTCGAATGTACTAGTAATTTGTTTAAAGTATGTTGTGTTCTGGAAACACAAATATTTCCATAGAATCAGTCACTCATTTAGGTCTTCATCATGCAGCCAGACTCCACGGGTGTTGATTTTAGGATTGGGACCTCGTTGGTTTATTTTGACACTCCAAATCAAAAAGCTAAGGAGATGCTTTTTATCCCGATTTTTAATGTGATAAAAGCAAATGTTTAAAGCTGGTTACACAGTCCTGGAGGTAGGGATTTATAATGGATATACACTAGTAGCCATGTAGACCAGTGTCAACATACTAAGAAAACTCTTCTCCTTTTCCCTTCTAAACTCAGGGGCTAATGACATGCTAATGAAAATCAGTCACTCAACAAAACCTGGTGCATTTGCTAAGGTTTCTGCTGTGGTCTGGTTTTGCTTAAAGACGCTAGTCAATAATAAATGCAGGTAAAAGTTTATTACTCATGGGAGAATGTCATATATAAAAAAATAAATAGGAAATGGCAGAGTTCACCTGCTTAGCCTCATCAAGAAAGTAATTAGGGATTTCAAACATTCCTATCAAAATATTCACTGAACTGTTCCTGGAAATCACAACCTACATTTCACCAGTGAAATGATTGCCCTTATTATTTTCATATTGTGTAAAAAGAAATTGACAGCAGAGGAGGGAGCTATACACCCATTTTTTTCCAAGATAATTTGAAAAACGCTGATCTCGATTTTAATCATCTGCAAGTGCAGCACAATTCACTTATAATATCCCTGCCAGCAGGAGCCTTGCTAAATTCATAACAGCGTTGCTTTTATATGATCACAAGCAAATTACTGAATCCCCAGGAGTAAAAGAGGTGGGGGCGGGGAGAAGAAAGAAAGA